ATCCCACTTAGCATTTTGTAGGCTGATCGGACAAAGAAGACACCCCTCCTGTCATAGTGCCATGCCTAAAAATCATGTTGTACTCTGGAACTCAGTGGTATGTTCAAGATAACATCCACATCCGGGCGAACAAAGTGCTCCTCCAAGATATCTTTCTTCCATGACCTAGTCACCGGCTCAATTAGTTCAGAAACCAATTGTGGAGGGCTGGCCGAAATAGCACATAGAGGTCTTAACTTAAAATCCCGTGGCAGCCAATTATCTTGCCAAATATGGGTAGTGGAACCCGACACGATTCTCTTGATGATCCCGAGTGCTAACACATCTCGCCCCTCTAGAAGTGAGCGCCAAACCTGAGACGGTCGGGTACCCAAGGTGGCGTCCAAAATATTAGACTGTGGATAGTAACGTGCCTTCAAAACGTGAGCACTGAGAGAGGATGGATCTTGTAACAAGCGCCAAACTTGCCGAGCAAGTAACGCTAGATTGAAGAGCTCAACATCTCGAAACCCCATACCTCCCATGAACTTTGGCTTGCACATCATCTTCCACGATACCCATGCTGGTTTCCTCTGACCTTGCTTACTGCCCCACCAGAATTTCCGAAGGAGACCATTGATATGTTCGCATAAACCCCGAGATAATTTGAAACACGCCATAGAGTAGGTTGGTATGGATTGAGCAACTGTCTTAATCAAGACTTCTTTTCCCCCCGCCAACAGGCATTTCTCCATCCATCCCTGTATGTGTTTCCATATTCTATCCTTCAAGTACCTGAAGCAGCCCTCCTTAGCCTTACCTACATCGGTAGGCAGGCCCAAATACCTCTCGTTCAAAGATTCATTCTGAACTCCAAGAACATTTTTGATATCAACACGTGCTGCCTCCGGAACACCCTTGCTGAAAAATATCGACGATTTATATGTGTTAATGCGTTGGCCAGATGCCGCACAATATATGTCAAGAAGGTCCTTCACCTTGGATGCACTGCCAGTTGACGCTTCAAAGAATAAAAGGCTATCATCGGCAAAAAGAGGATGATTGACAGCCGGTGCCGATGTAGCTACCGATAGGCCTCGAACACCCAGGCCTTCTGATTTCAGCAAACAAGACAAGCCCTCTGCAGCCAACAGGAAAAGGTAAGGGGAGCTGGGGTCCCCTTGCCGTAACCCCCTTGAGGGTCTGAAATCATCCAATATGCCGCCATTAAATAGGACAGAAAAAGAAACTGAAGTTACACACCTCATAATCGTAGCAGTAAAGCACGAACTAAAGCCCATCTTGAGCATAACCGCCTCCAGATATGGCCATTCGATTCTGTCATAAGCTTTCATCATGTCTAGCTTGAGCGCACAATATCGGTTCCCCTTAGCTCTCCTTGTTTTCATGTAATGCAGACACTCGTATGCTGTGATAAAGTTGTCCTTTATAAGGCGTCCAGGAACAAAAGCCGATTGCTCTTGAGAAATAACCTCTGGGAGTATAATCTTCAACCTGTTTGCTAAGACCTTCGATGCGATCTTGTAGATCACATTGCAAAGACTTATAGGTCGAAACTGTCCTAACAGTTTTGGACTTGCTATTTTTGGAATCATAACGATGAACGTGCGGTTGATTTCCTCCGGTGAGTCATCTCCATTGAGCACCCTAGTGATCATGCCCGTTACCTCATCACCACAAACCTCCCAGTGCCGCTGAAAAAAGTGAGCCGGAAAACCATCCGGTCCAGGAGCCTTGGTGGGAAACATCTGAAAGAGTGCAATTTTAATCTCTTCCTTAGTGTAAGGAGCATTGAGACCAGCATTCATGCCTGCATCCACTTTGGTCGGTATGTGTGACAGAACCTCTTCCATACCTATAGTTCCCTCTGTAGCATACAAATTGGCATAAAAGGCACTAGCCATATCTGCTAGTTCAGCCGTGTCAGTGCACATTGATCCATCTTGGCGCTGCAATTGCGTGATGTTATTTTTTGCTCTCCTAGCACTGGCTTTTTTCTGAAAATACTTGATGTTGCTGTCTCCCGCTGAAAGCCACCGAATACGCGATCTCTGTCGCATCATGATCTCCTCACGATAAGATACTTCAACTATGCGATCCTGGATCCTTTTCTCCTCCTCGCTTGGACCAACACGAAGAGGATCAGCACGCAACACAGCTAACTCCTGCCTGAGTTTCCGCAACTCTTGTCGCACAGAGCCGAACGTAGTCTTCCCCCAATGTTTCAGAGATGATGAAACATTGGTTAGCTTAGCTGCAAGCTCAGCTACCGTAGTAGCAGGATGATTGGCCCGCCAAGATTGTACAACTGTATCTCTAAACGAGTCTTCAGTCTCCCACATACACTCATAACGAAACGGTCTCTTTAGTGCAACTCTCAAGTTACTAGCTTCCAGCTCATTTAGCAGAAGAATTGGACAACGATCTGATTTTGCCGCCGTGAGATGTTCCACTGAAGCAAAAGGAAATATAGCCGACCATGACGGAGTTGCAAGGGCGCGGTCTAGTCGGACCCGACAATATTCTCCTGCGACCACTCTTTTTTCAAAAGTCCAATCCAGGCCTTTGTAACCAAGATCTGCAAGCTCGCACACATCGACAGCTTCTCTGAATCCCGCTATCTGTGCACTGTCCCTCTCATTTGGTCCCATCTGCTCCTCTGGACGGAGAATTTCGTTAAAATCACCCATGCAGACCCACGGCAGCGAGTTTTCTCCTCGCAAAAACTTCATGGTGTCCTAGGTTTTGTATCTGAGACTCCTGTTTGCAGCTCCATAGAAGCAAGACAAACGCCACGGTTCTTTGCCCAGTTCTGTAATTACCGAGTCAATGTGATATTGGGAAAAACTTTTTATTTCCAAGGCAACATTATTCTTCCAGTACAAGCACAAACCTCCACTACGACCACTACTAGCTACTCCAAATCTACCACTAAAACCTAGACTACCCGCCAGACCTTCCACCCTATACTTCGCAAGTTGAGTTTCAACTATGCAAAGCACATCCGGCGCACAAGCCTCCACTAAATCGCGGAGCTCACGAACCGTCGCGGGGTCGCCAATCCCCCGGCAGTTCCAACATAAAGTCCTCATTTGGCGCGGCGGTCCCCCAACTCGGAGGCCGCCTTAGTGCTCAGCTCCATCTCATCAACTCCCTGCTCATCCCCCTGCTTCCTCCTCTTCACTACCGGTGCCTTATCTGGGGTTGATGCCGAAGCTGCAGTGGCATCGCGAGTTACTCCATCTGGTCCATTTTCCAGCTGCAAGACTGTTCCCGCAACCCTCCCAGCAAGGTTTGGTATAGATTGCCCACGGATATTCACAGTCCCATCCGAAGAGACCAGCCTCTTACGAGCATTGGTATTGTCCGTTGGGTTCTGTTCAGAAGCAGCATACTCCATCTCTTCCCTTTCAGTATGATCCTCTGTCCTTCTCCTTCCTCCCATCGATCCCCCTCCAGTGTGTCTTCCTCCCCGAGCTCCTCTGCCCCCCGATCTTCCACCCCTAGCACTTCCCTCCATACCTCCCCTCCCTCCTGCAGCAAAGGCCGGCTGGCCCGGGTTCCACAATAACCATTCACCCCACTCGCAGGTGCGTGGATCATGCACACCATCACCACACTCTTCAACTGTATGGCCCATCAGACCGCAGAAGTAGCAAAAATCTGGTAGCCTATCATAAAACACTGGGTATTTCTTCCTTTCTTTCAGAGTGATCGGGACAAATCTCACCAAGGGGGTATTAACATCCACAAATACTCTAACTCGCAAGATACCAGCCGGGTTTATTTTCCCCTCATTCACAAGCACCGTGAACGGTGGTTCTCCCACCTTTGCAGCCACCCGTTCTGCAAGTTCTTTCTTTGCTGTAAGCCCATCAGGCAGCCCTTTTATCCTTGCCCACACCGGTAATTTATTCAGCTTATACTCTGCCACGTCAGTAAAGCCATCATACTCTTGAAGGATCACTGGAGCGTTGCGGAAGATCCATGGCCCTCCTTCCATCAACCTCTTCCAATCTCCAAGGCAGTGACATTGAACCAGGAACAAGTTCGGGCCCTTCACGTTAATTGTCACACCCTGTGCAGACGCCCACGCGTTCCTCATCTGCCTGAGCAGCGCGACATGGCTGAAGGGTTTGGTGGTGTGTACCCTAAAGAGACTCAGCCAGCGCACTCCTTCAATCAAGTCTTCTACCTCGCCCGACAGGTCCAGATCATCCTCCTCCTCCCCATGCAGATGCATACCTGCAAATTTGTCTTCCAGATCTGGTTCAGGGCCATAGGCCCACTCCTCATCTTCATCCTGCCCGACTGCCGCGCCAACATCTGCTCCCGGCTCCTCCAGCGCCCTAACATCTCCAACTCCATCCGTCACCCGGCTACCCTCCCCTGTCTCCATCTTCTTCCTTGCATCGACTACTTCCTTCCCTGTGCTCACTCTACCTCCCGTCCCCAACGCTAGAGGCGTCGGTCCCTCCATGCAGCTTGGCTTGCAAAACCTCTCGATTGGTAGGACTTCAAGTCGCCGAACGGATCCGGCAGACTTGAAGGATTAACGTGGACTCCGCCGTCGCCGCCGGAGGTCAGGTTGGAACCCTAGATCGCCCTAGGGGAAAAGAACTCCGAAGGAGGCTTCAGTTGGGTTGTGTCTGGTGAGAGCCCACGGGGCGAGAACGACTGAAGTATGGCCCATAGATTTTCTTTTCTGTTCAACAATCACACGCACGTACCACAAAAAGATGGGCTCGATGTTAGCCCCACCAGGGAGGAGTGGATACGATATCTTTAGGCCCAACATTAGCATCTCAACGTCGCTCCCGAATAGTTCGCCACCGAGCGACTCTGCTTAAAAATCCTATCCCATCGGTCCCGTGTTACGCTAGCGCAAGAAAAAACCCTAGCAATCTGCGATCTGGGATCGATCGATGTCCTCGCCGGCGGCGAACTGCTAGCGCCCTTCCGCGCCCGTCACGGCTTCCTCCGCCACCTGCTCCCGCGACATGTTTCCCCTGGCGTCCATGGCGGCGGATTTGGTTGAGTTAATCGGCTTGCGGGTGCTGGCCGCCGGAGACCTGCTCGACTACATCCGCTTTCGTGCAGTGTGCGCACACTCCTGGTCAAGCACTATCCACCCGCGTGGCCATGGCATCACCGACTCGCGCTTTCATCCGCGTCGGTGGATGATGCTGCCGGACGGCCACAGGCTCCATCTTGAAGACGGTAGGAAACGTTTCCTCAACCTTGACACCGGAAAGTTCGTGCGTCCTCGAGTTCCTCTTCTGGACGACCACTGCCTCCTCTGCTCGGTCGAAGGCCTCCTCCTCATGCAGCGGCAACATGGCGACCAAGACGAAGACCCTATATGCCTCCTTCACCCCTTCACGGGAGACACCGCAAAGTTCCCGCCAGTCACGTATCGCACGATGGTGCGCTTGTTTGGGTCAGCGTACCACTTGAATTCTCACAACGGATCTGCTTACTTGTTGCCAGGCAGGGTGACCGCCTCCTTGACTGTTAACGCTGAAGGGGTCGTTATGATCACGGTCGTGCTTCCAGATGTTTCACGCGCGCTCTTTGCCACCACCAAGGACAAGCAATGGAGATTATCGGCCTGGAGCTTCTCCCCAAACGGCAGCACCATATCATCACAAGGAAAAATTTACATGGTACAACCCAAGCCCACGTCTAGCGTCGAACTGCAGATTTTACAAATCGACCCACCTCGGCCCGAGAAGATTTATGGATCCAGTTCGTCTTCGTTTCCGGCACCAAAGGTGATTGCCATATGCCCCACGGGCATGCTCAACGCCCTTTCTGAATTAGTAGAATGCGACTCGGAGATACTACTTGTGGATTCCAGCGATTACGTCTTATCCAAGCGCATGGCAGTCTACAAAATAGCAGACCTTATCCAAGGAAGAGTTACTCCTCTAACAAGCATCGGGGACAAGGCTCTCTTGGTTGGTGTCAGAAGGAGTGGGAGTCTTATCGGAAGGAATCTGAGTGTGAGTTTGAAGGCAATGCCAACCATTGCAGGTGACATGATTGTATGCCATGATCCCATACATGAAAAATATCTTGGACAATATCACATTGGTAGCGGCACTTGGTCGCTAAGAGATATGATATGCGACATATATAGTGCTTCTGGGTGGTGTACTTGTAGTCTCATCGACCATATCTATGGAGCCTGTCATTGTTTTATTGGCTGATGAGCTAGGTCTTCACTCCTAATTTACTTAGAGTGATGAACTGTCGAACTTAATTACTACCTATGTATCCGTATGAGGACTAGAAAACCAAGGGTAATGCTACTTGTTTTGCGTAGATTTGCTTTCTTTTCATGTGAAGACACTTGATTATTGTTACATCATTTCACAATTATGCGTCTAGTCTTCCTATACATGCAAAGGTGTTGGAAAGAATGTACTGATCTTTATTATTATATTACATCTTGCAATGGTGCATGAAGGAAAGCAGCAATCGAAAATGCTCTTCTGAGCACGAGCACAGATGCTCGTTATATTTGTGCTGTTTGCTCTTGACAAAATTCGTTCTCAGCCGGGTATTTCTATTTGTATATCATAGTTTTAAATAGCCGGCTATAGCGAAGGTATTTCTATTTGTATATTATAGTTTTAAATAGCCGCTATAGCTCTGCTTTGGCCGGCTATAGCCTTTTCAGCAGGGTGCCGCTAACTGGTCGCCTTTACGAATAGCCCGTTATAGCCTGCTATAGCTCGCTATAGCTCATTTAGAGGCTCGCCGCTATTTTTCGTAGCCTGCTATTTAAAACATTGTTGTATATTCTTTCGTATTCACTGCATAAAAGTGGGTCGTTGGCCCACAGCCTATGCACGTTTATTGCCCATCGGCCCGTTATATACCTTACCATCTACTCCCTCCGTTCCTAAATATAAATCTATAAATCTTTGTAGACATTTCACTATGGACAACATACGGATATATATAGATGCATTTTAGAGTGTAGATTCACTCATTTTACTCCGTATATGGTCCATAGTGGAATTTCTCCAAAGACTTATATTTAGGAACGGAGGGAGTGGATGTCCGCTAACGTTCCATGCCGTTTGCTCTCCCGTTCTAACGGTCAAATTTATTACGGGAAACAAACTTACTCTTTCAGATAACTTTTAGGGCTTATTCGGTTTGGAGGAAATCAAAACATAGAAATTAGGAGTAGTATAGAAATTTGATAGGATGGCATTTGCCATCCTAAGGAATTGACTTGCCCCGCGTTCCTATGCACAGAATGAACTTTGAGTGGATGTGTAGTTTTCTTCAAAAACACAGAAAATGAGTAGTATTCCTACGAAATTCGTGTACGCATTTCCTACAAACCGAATGCATACATAGGAAATTTTCCTCCAGAATCCTTGTTCCTATGTTTTTCCTACGAAAATCCTCCAAACCGGATGAGGCCTTAAGGATTTTCCCCAAATCAAAATAATAACCTTGAAGTTCTGGTCTTATACTGAAAGTCCTTTTCTATCTATGAACACCAGGTGACAACTTCCAGTAGACCTATCCGATAGAATTCGCGAAGCTATTAGCCTGCAAGCTCTCATTCAGGTATTGTATTCTCAACTTAGAGTATTTTCTTACCGAAGTTTGGTGCCTAACTGCCAAACATCTTTTGTCAATGGTAAGAATGTAGTTGTTGACAACTTGACATAAATTTCATGCTTTCTACAAGAAGAGTCGTATCAATATTAACAGAGAAGTAGACGTTGTTGATGACCCACAAGTATAGGTGATCTATCGTAGTCCTTTCGATAAGTAAGAGTGTTGAACCCAACGAGGAGCAGAAGGAAATGATAGACGGTTTTCAGCAAGGTATTCTCTGCAAGTACTGAAATAAGTGGTAAAAGATAGTTTTGTGATAAGATAATTTGTAACGAGCAACAAGTAACAAAAGTAAATAAAGTGCAGCAAGGTGGCCCAATCCTTTTTGTAGCAAAGGAAAAGCCTAGACAAACTCTTATATAAGGAAAAGCGCTCCCGAGGACACATGGGAATATCATCAAGCTAGTTTTCATCACGTTCATATGATTCGCGTTCGGTACTTTGATAATTTGACATGTGGGTGGACCGGTGCTTGGGTGCTGTTCTTACTTGAACAAGCATCCCATTTATGATTAACCTCTATTGTAAGCATCCGCAACTACAACAAAAGTATTAAGGTAAACCTAACCATAGCATGAAACATATGGATCCAAATCAACCCCTTACGAAGCAACACATAAACTAGGGTTTAACCTTCTGTCACTCTAGCAACCCATCATCTACTTATTACTTCCCAATGCCTTCCTCTAGGCCCAAATAATGGTGAAGTGTTATGTAGTCGACGTTCACATAACACCACTAGAGGCTAGACAACATACATCTCATCAAAATATCGAACGAATACCAAATTCACATGACTACTAATAGCAAGACTTCTCCCTTGTCCTCAGCAACAAACGTAACTACTCACAAAGCATATTCATATTCATAATCAGAGGGGTAATAATATGCATAAAGGATCTGAACATATGATCTTCCACCAATTGAACCAACTAGCATCAACTACAAGGAGTAATTAACACTACTAGCAACCTACTAGCATCAATCCCAGACTTGGAGACAAGAATTGGATACAAGAGATGAACTAGAGTTTTGAGATGAGGTGGTGCTGATGAAGATGTTGATGGAGATTGCCCTCTCCCGATGAGAGGAGCGTTGGTGATGACGATGGCGATGATTTCCCCCTCCAGGAGGGAAGTTCCCCCGGCAGAACAGCTCTGCCGGAGCTCTAGATTGGATCCACCAAGGTTCCGCCTCGTGGCGGCGGAGTTTCGTCCCGAAAGGTTGCTTCTTTTCTTCTCGACGAAAGACTTCATATAGAAGAAGATGGTCATCGGAGAGCCACCAGGGGGCCCACGAGGTAGGGGGCGCGCCTTAGGGGGGCCACCATCGTGGAAAGGGTGTGGGCCCCCTGGTCTTCATCTTTGGCTAGGATTTTTCATTATTTATTATAAGGTATTCCGTGAAGTTTCAGGGCTTTTGGAGTTGTGCAGAATATGTCTCTAATATTACTCCTTTTCCAGCCCAGAATTCCAGCTGTCGGCATTCTCCCTCCTTATGTAAACCTTGTAAAATAAGAGAGAATAGCCATAAGTATTGTGACATAATGTGAAATAGCAGCCCATAATGCAATAAATATCGATATAAAAGCATGATGCAAAATGGACGTATCAACTCCCCCAAGCTTTGACCTCGCTTGTCCTCAAGCGAAAGCCGATAACAATAAATATGTCCCCATGTTTAGAGGTAGAGGCGTCGATAAAGATAAAATACGGACATGATGGCATCATGATTATTCTCATAACAGCAACATATATCGATATTGTCATATGATTACTTATGTTCAAGTGATGATCTATTCACAATGCAAAAGTATGAATCAAAAATCTTATTGAGAACCAACAAACTATAACCTCAGTCATTGAAGGAATTGCAATTTATCATAACATCAGAAAGAGTCTATGTCAGAGCTAAAAAGCAAGTCCACATACTCAACTATCATCTAGTCCTTCATAATTGCTAACACTCGCACAATAATTGTGGTTATGGAGTTTTAATCGGACACAAAGAAAGATAGGGGCTTATAGTTTCGCCCCATAACCTTTTACCTCAAGGGTAAAGTCAACAATAATAACTCATGCCCCCCTACATCCAATTATATATATATATATATATATATATATATATATATATATATATCAGGTTCTTTCCAACATGCTGGGCTTGCCAAAGGATAAAATAAAAAAGGAAAGGTGGAGATCACCATGACACTTGCATAAGGTAGAAGATAATAATAAAAGATAGGCCCTTCGCAGAGGGAAGCAGAGATTTCCATGCACTTTTATGGTTGGATGCACAAATCTTAATGCGAAAGAACGTCACTTTATATTGCCCCTTGTGATATGAACCTTTATTATGCAGTCTGTCGCTTTTATTACTTCCACATCACAAGATCGTATAAAGCTTATTTCTCCCACACCAATCAATCATACATATTTAGAGAGAAATTTTTATTACTTTGCATCAATGACAACTTACTTGAAGGATCTTATTGAATCCATAGGTAGATATGATGGACTCTTATGGCAAGACTGGTTTAAGGGTATTTGGAAGCACAAGTAGTATCTCTACTTGGTGCAATGAATTTGGCTAGCATGAGGAGGAAAGGCAAACTCAACATGTTGGATGATCCATGACAACATACTTTATCTCAGATATAAGAAAACATAACCCATTATGTTGTCTTCCTTGTCCAACATCAACTCTTTAGCATGTCATATTTTGATGAGTGCTCACAATCATAAAAGATGTCAATAATAGTATATTTATATATGAAACCTCTCTTTCCTTATTACTTCCTATTAATTGCAACGATGACCAAAGCTATGTCTGCCAACTCCCAACAACTTTTAATCATCACACTCTTTCTATGTGAAGTCATTACTATCAATAAGATCAATATGAACTTTTGTTTCTTTTTATTCTTTTTCCCTTTTCTTTTCTTTTATTTGGGATCATGGCAAAAATAAACAAGCCCTTGACTCAATCACTAATCTTTATTATATAGCTCAAGGACTCGATTACATAGAAGGATAATAAAGCGAAACTCATGACTAGATCATATTAAGAATTTTTATTCTACTAGATCAAAATATTACCAAAAGGATCGAACTAAGAAAAACGGTAAAGATAAAAGTGATGGTGATTGTGATACGATACCGGGGAACCTCCCTGATACGTCCATTTTGCATCATGCTTTTATATCGATATTTATTGCATTATGGGTTGTTATTTCACTTTATGTCAGAATACTTATGGCTATTCTCTCTTGTTTTACAAGGTTTACATGAAGAGGGAGAATGTCAGCAGCTGGAATTCTGGGATGGAAAGGAGCAAATATTAGAGACCTATTCAGCGCAACTCCAAAAGTCCTGAAACTCCACGGAACATCTTAAAATAAATAAAGAAACATCCTCGCCAAAGATGAAGGCCAGGGGGCCCACACCCTGCTCACGAGGGTGGGGGGCGACCCCCCCTAGGGCGCGCCCCCTACCTCATGGGCCCCCTGGTTTCTCTGACGTCCATCTTCTCCTATATGAAGTCTTTCGATGAGAAAAAAAGAAGA